TTTAATCAATCAATTTAATTTTCTCATCCCAAAATTTGAGTTTGATAACAATTTACTTAACCACATTACCACATTACTTATATATGATTATTAAGTTCAACTGATTCATATTACTAATACTAAAACATCTAAAATACAAATACATATGTATTTTTAAAATTAATTTAAGTTCACCTCCTCTCTCTTAAAAATTGTTACTTCTCAAAATTTCCCATTAAAAAAATAGACCATGTACCGTATAAAATTAAATAATTGAATGATCGAAAAATCACAAAAATTTTCGGAAAAATTTTGACCACCTGCACACGTACACAATCGTCAATTTAAAAAAAAAACACTACTACTTTAGTATTTTAAATATTTTAATAAACGCAAAAATAGCACAGTATTTAGAAGGCAAGTTATAAAAATTTGGAAGAACTAATAATGCACTGACGCAGACAAAAATCAAACGAATACTAAATTTCATTTATCAAAAGCATTCCATAGTCGTGGCTAACGATAACCAGTTAGTCGCATGGCGAGGTTGTCACATATGCTTTAGTATACAAATGAATGAACGATTTTATTCGAATGAAACCATTCGATAGTTGAAATCATTCATTCAGTAACCATTCGATAGTCTAATTCATTCGATAGTTCCCATCGCTAGTGTTGGGCGATACCTGCCGGCGGTTCTCAAAATGTTACCGACATTTTTTTTAATTTTCAAAGTTAAATAATTCGGTTATTTTCAATTTATTTTAAAAATAGTAAAGAGAAAATATGTTTCTTTTGACCAGATCTACCACCATTTAAAATATTTTTATATATACGTACGTTATTTTAATAATAATTTTATATAATACTTTTATACAAATACAAAGTGAAAAAAAACTAAAATGTAAGAACATCAGTTTTAGTTTAATTAGATACAGATTTGAACACGCAAATACATTAACTAGCTTTCTTTAAGAAATTAAAACTTATTGAAGAAAAAAAATTACTTTTATTTATAAGAAAACTTTTATTCGGTAGAAAAAAGAAAAACATCCAACGAAAGCAAAATCGATTAAATGAAATTGGGTAACTATCAAGACTTGTAGTATTAATTAACTGGGAATTAATAATAATTAATAACTAGTATTAATTAACTGGGAACATGATAAATCGTTTCCCGTAGGACAAGTTCGAAAGAAACTTTGGATTGCCGACCACAGCTTAAGAAAGCGAAAGTAAAAACTTGATTACATGGTCGTTAACAATAGTTAAGTCAATGTCGACTTGCGTATTTCCAGTGCTTTGCTTCATTAAATTGGCCCTGAAATCCTGTATAATAATCTCGTTAAAATATAAGCCCTTTATGTTCAGATCTTCTTTACAGCTAATATAGAAATTTTTTGCTCAAGGTCAGTAAAATATTTTGACGTATCTTTCTCCACTTGAAAAATCAAATTTTCAGAAATCGCAAACTTATACCTACATTTTCTAATTATTTTATCAACTAATAAAGGAGTATAAATATCCATAACACACGGGAGTATTACATACGTCAAAATATTTTTCAATACCGTTTGATAAAGAGCTATCTCGTGGTTTAAAATGAATGCCAATTAAAAACTTACAAAAACTAAATTTACAAAATAAAATAGTTATTTTTTGAAAACACTGATGGCGTTAATCCAACGGAGACTAAATGTCAACAGTAGCTTATTAATGAATAAATTTGCCTAACGGACAAAAACATTATTTTGAGAAAGTATATCATTATATCTCAAGGAAGCAAAAAAAATAAAAAGAACAAAGAAAAAAATGTATTTAAAATATACAGGGTTGTTCACCACATACGACACGGAGTATTGTAGCTAAACGATGAGATTTTTACAAATTGTAAGTTTTGGGTTCGATGAAGGACTATTAGAGGTACAATTTAAAAATAATTTTACTAGATACAGAGTGTCCCAAATAAGTAAAACATATCAAAGTTATATTTTTTTAAATGGAACACCCTGTATATTATTACATTTTTAGTTTCTACAGTTAAAAGAAAGGTAAATTTGATTAAGGTTTATTATACTTAAACCTTACCGTTTTTGAAATATTTTCAATTTTGTGAAATTGCAGTAAAAATTTTAAGGCATCATTTCTCCAAGGGTATCAAAGTTTTTAATACTAAATATTTACTGAAGTTTATTTACTGATCAGTTATTGTGTTGCAATAATAAAAATAATACTACCTTATACAGAGTGTCTAAAAATTTATTTTAAATAATTATTAGCTTCAAACGACAATGTTACTTGTTTAATTTAAATGGAACACCCTCTATATTTTACGAGAATCAGATGCACAATTTAATTGTCTATCAAATTATATTATACCATTTTTTACCTATCTCTTTAAGTTTCCGTAGAAAATGCATTTTCTTGTAATTTAGAACTTATTTATCAATATACCCATGGACTATTGACATTTTAGATTATTTTTAAAGATACACCAAATTTTTAAAGAGTACAGATACTAATATTGTCGATATAATTCGTTTATTTCATTAAAAATTAAAAAAACTGTTTAAATATTTGTTAAAGAGGATCAATTAATATGATTCCAGTATTCTAACTACATTAACTGACTGTTTGCGTTGATTAATAATAATTGCTCCAAATACTAAAAAACTGAATTTTGTATGGGCATTAGACAGTGTGATAAAAAGTAACACCTTAAAAATGATATTTCATTTTTTAATAAATGCTTATTTATAACAACAGAGACTTTAATTTGATAACTTATTATTATATTGATTTCTGACTCAAATCCACATTTATTTATAATAATTTATTAACGAACACAATTAAGTATGTAATTAATTAGTATATGGGCGGAAATAATGGTGTTATATTTAATTAATGGTATACTCTTTTATAAAGATTTAAATAGTTTTCTTTTTGCATACAAATGGGCTAGTAATATTATCGTTTTGCTAAAAAAGAGACGTTCCAGGTGGAGGTCTCCCTACTGAATGCTTTGGTTTAAAAACATCATCATCATGGATCATTAATATACTTTGACTTGGATTATAAAGAAAGTTATTAATTATTTTTTTATATCTTTGAACATTTTGTAAACTGAATGATTTATTTTCTGATATAAACTTATTCAACGGTCACTTTATTAACCGACCCATTTAAGTTTTTAGCTTTTAGAAATAGCAAATTTTCAAACAAGTTTTAATGAAGTACGCGAATGTTACAACGGCTTCGAACAAATATAAATAAAACCCAAATAGGTTTTACGACTCTAGTTCGGCTATAAAATGGAAGTTCAGTTATTAATTCGGGCAAATTAAAGATTGGAAATGGAAAATTTATTTGAGCAATACTTTTTCTTCGTACCTACTTCGCTGTCGAAATTGAATTTTATGGTTTTGATATTTCACAATTCTTGTCGCTGCTTCGTAGCAAACTGATACTGCCATTAAATATAATATACTGTGATCCCTCAGATTCGAATCAATAGTTTTGAAATACATTTTTTATTAATTTGATTTCTATATTTTCAATAAATTAGAAATTAAAAAACAATTATTATAAAATACAAAATGAGATGCGATAAAAAGTTTATGTCACTAGATTTTGTTTAAATAATATATTATAAACAGTAATAAAAAATTAAATATATCTATCTATAATACATGAGCAAGTCTAATATTAAACATATTTGGTTTGAAGTACATAAAAACATTAATTGGCTTTCTAAATTATTTATGCTAATTGATGGCGTCAATAAAACAATTAGAGCCATCATGATATTTGCTATAAAATTTACTAATAACTAATTAAAGTTATGCATTATAGCATTATATGCATACATTCTAAAACTACTTTTAATAATCCGGTAAATAATTTCATATAACATATTAATTATTGTAATTACAGTGTTAATTAGTTTTATTTAATCCAGTCATTTTCAGAAGATCTAAATTTTCGTTTAATAGCTAGACATTTTCTTAAACAATAATAATAATCATTTATATATATATATATATATATATATATATATATATATATATATATATATATTTATGTTTCTTAATCGAAAATCAACATCATATCAAGTAAATCAGTAAAACTAATTTCTAAGCGCCAAATGATTATGATAATTATAAAAATAAAGATAGCTCATATGGATACGGTCAGGTATAACATTTATAACGTACGATCGAATAAAAACGGCGTCAGAGATGGCTATGAAATGAAGATCGCTGTCATTTTATATGTAAAATTGTATAGGAAATGTCATCAATCGTCATTTCCATGCCATCTGGAAGCCGTTTTTTTTTCGATCATACGGTAGTAACGAAACTAAAAGAATTTCGAACTTCCATTGTATTTATTTATTTTCCTTACACAACGTTGCGGTCAGAAGTATCATTGACCATTACCAAGTGTGAACTACGTGGGAACAGATGGGAACTAGTGATCGTTCGATAGATAATTTATAAGATAACAATTTATAACAAACTTTTTGAATATGTACTTCTATAACCACTAACTCAAAAAACTGACTTGGTTTTACATGAGACCAGAAATAACATGTTATCTGTAATGAAACCTCGCAACTATTTGTAGCGGAGAACTCTTTAGCAAAACTTGGCATTTTTTCACATTTTATATTTTTGATGATAGTTTATTTCTATTTTTAGGATGGATATATAAGTCAGTATGTTAGTATCTTATCCGTAAGCTATTGATTTTCTTAAGGCCTACTCCCTGTTATGGTTTATGTTATTTGTGTAGTATTATAAGTAATTTTGGTTTAGTAAAGGTGGTTACAGACCTGACGAGACAAGCGCGAAACATTCCAAATTTGCTAAATGCGAACGGGTCTCGCGAGCCAACCTACGGAGTCTCGTTACTATCCGTCTATTGTCGGTTTTTCGAGAGACGGGGGCCAAAAGTTGCGCAGGACTGCGTCATATCAATGCATGCTATACATAACTTGCTTGGCTCGTGGCAGGTGTCTCTCATATATAAGTATCGCTTTTAAAACGTCCTTCGACGTTGTGCGATGCAATTGCTAGTCGCCATTGGTTTCTTTCATTCCAGTGTCCGTCACGCAGATCCCTTGAGCTCATCGCCTTCTTGACACCATCCATCCAGTTTGTCCTTGGCCTTTCCCGTTTCCTTCTCTTTTGTGGAAGCCAGTTTAGTACCTTCTGAGGCAGTCGCGTGTTGTCCATCCTTCTCACATGTCCATACCACTTCAGTTGGGCACTCTCTATTTCCTCTACTATAGTTTTCTGTCTACCCATTTTATCCCTGATTGTCTCTTTTCGTACTCCATCCAGCTTTGATGTTCGTGCTGATCTCCTTATCGCGTCCATTTCTACCGCCAGTAATTTTCTTTTGTTATTCTCCGTTAACCTCCATGTTTCCGCCCAAAATAACAAATTGCTCTTGATTATCGCATCATAAATCCTTAGTTTTCTGTCTTTACCTATTTCGTTACTCCAGAGTATATTATTCAGACATTTTATTGCATTTCTGGCCTTGACTATTCTCGAACTTATTTCGTTGCCGTCTTTCCCGGATTTATCAAAAGTAACGCCTAGGTATTCGTATTCGCTACATGTTTGTACGTATTCATTATCCAGTTTTATTGCTGTCTGATCCGATCCAATGCAGAGATATTTAGTTTCCAGTCCCCAAACTTGGTATTCCTCTTTAAGTTTTCGTGTCATATATTCCAAGTCATCTTTGTCTCCGGCGCAAATAACCTGGTCTTCGACGAATTGCAAAGTGTATAAGCAAAAATCTTCACTTATTGATATGCCCATGCCTCTACACTTGCTTTTCCACTGCTTTAAAACTTGGTTGACGTATATTTTAAATAAAGTTGGTGACAGGCAACACAGTTTTTATTGAGGAACAAGAATTTTTATATATCTTTTGTATTGCTATTATAAATGCGTGATTTAATCTGGTTAGTTTAAGAGATTCCCAGAGTTTGGCGATAGGGACACTATCGTAAGCTTTCTGGAGATCGACAAACATTAGGTGTATTTCTTCTTTTATAGCTATTTTCTCTTTTCTCTGAGAAGTAACAACAAAATGCATTATCAGGGCAGGATCTCCCAGCTCTAAAACCGGATTGTTGTTGTTCTTGATCTTTGTATTCGTATTCAATTGGACCTTTTAATACACTACCTACACATATTATGCTTATTGTGCTTGTTACAGATAACCCCTTATAATCAGAGCACTGCACTGTTTCCTGTTGCCTTTTTTTATGGATATATGTTATGTATACCGTTTTCCATTATTATCAAATTAATATAAATAAATAAATAACTTTAAAAAAAGTAATACTCATGTATCGAAATGGAATTTGTATGTCTATTTTAATTCATTTAAGTAAGTACTTATAAAAAAACTGCCGATGATAGTATTATCGATCCTCTGGTATAGATTACCAAATGAATTAACTGGAAAAAATTTCAGTCAATGGATAAAAAATGTAACATTTTGTGTAAAGATAATCCACTCGAATGATTTTACTCTTTTTTCAACGATTTGTCAACATTTTTATTTATAAAAGCTTTGACATAAAAGTTACTTGAACCATTCAGCACAAATCCCCAATATTCAAACATGCTTTACCCTTTAAAACTTTTGTATTTCAATTCAATCAATTTTTGTTTTTATTATTAGAGAGAGCTTAGTTGATAATTTTAGATTTTTGTTTAAAAATCATACACACTTAAATTCAAATATATTAATTTAAAAACAATTGGATTATTAATGAAGTACATGGTGTATAGTTTTTTTGATGGAATGGGTACTGAGATGAACCGCCTATGCAAAAATAAACATATTTCTTTAAATTCAAAACACTTAGTTTTGACACTCTGTATACATAAATAAAATTATTGATTTTTAAAATATTATTCGTAAACTAGGAAGAGGGAAATCAGACGATAGGAGGGAAATATGCGATAAGTGATAGACAATAGCTTTTAAACTACCATTCGAGACGCATTGATGTTATTTTTGGTTTGCAAGATTGAGATAAAGAATGTTATTAAAGGTAAAGTAAATATTTCCTCCTTATTTAACTAATGTTAACTAAAGCATAAATTTTGTTTTTCTATTGTAATATTCTGCGCTGAAGCTGTTCCTTATTTATTTGACCTGAAATGTATTATACAGACCGGACCACCGTAGTAGTAACATAGGCAGAACCGGACGAATTAGCGTATACCCGTCCGCCGGATAAAAAGCAGGTGAAAAAATGCGATAAAATAAAAATAGGTAGATATGTGATCAGAATGTTTCAGAATTTGTATTTATTCGTGTTTTAATAGCCTAAACGAATACATAGATTCTCGCGACAGTTCTCGTGTAAAATTTATTTTTTAAGTAAAATAATAGATGGTTACGAAGTTCGTGAGAAAATTCAAATTGTAAAATGGTATTTCCAAAATAGGTCTTATCGGAATATACAAACAATTTTTTCACAAACTTTTGTAAACAGGCCAATTCCATCTTTACCTACTGTATCAAGAGTTATTAATAATTTTGAAACATATGAGTGCGTGTTCACACAAAAACACAAAAAGCCTGATGTGTTGATTAATGAAGAACAGGAGTTAAAGCAAGTGTTCATTTGTGCTACCGTGGATCAAAATCCCACGTTTTGAAGTAATCAAATTGCTGAGGTGGTTGTCCTGCCCACAATGTCCGTATTGTTCAAGAATATTTGAACATTAATTTTCCCAACCGTTTAATTAGTGGACATGGAACAATTTTGTGGCCCGCTAGATCACCAGATCTTTCTCCCAATGACTTATTTTTGTGGGGTTATGTAAAATCCAAAGTGTATGGTCATAATAGCGCTAATAAGATAGATTAGTTATAGATTTATAATTATAGATTTTACGACCGTCTAGCACAAGAAGATGGTCTTTTTGAACACTTGTTATAACTTTTTCTTATTTAGAGTAATATTTTAGGTTTTTTTTGGGTTTAGAGAATTTATTTATTTTTAGTTTTGGCTTGTAAACACACTCAAATAATAAATATTTAAGTATTTTCATTTTAAATGTTACCTTAAGTGAAGGTAAACACTTAAAATGAAAATAATAAATACTCGGCATTCCTCGCGTCGTATTCCTAGTCTGTCACGACCGACCCGTCCAAGCACAACTGCAACTGCGTACTGCCTGACCAGCCGACTAGCCGGCAATCTCGAGTACGAACGCAAAATGGAAAAAAAGAAAATAATTGACTTATGACAACAGTATGACTTTTTGACAGTATAACAGTGTGTCAATAAGGGCCTTGTTGCATGTACTAATAATTTCCAATGCCTGCTAATAATTTCTATTTCTAGTACTAATAATTTCCGTGCCTGGGCGAATATCTTAGCACATAAAAGGGCAGTCAAATCCAAAGAATGGTATAACTCATAGCCTAAAGATATTGGCTCCAACCATATCAACTCTAGCTGATTAGCCTCCCGAATCACAGTATATGAGTACCACCTCAGTACCTGCAGGTGGGGACCTGCTAACTAACAAAACCTCTTCAGTCATGAATGTACCGTATGATCGAGAAAAAACGGCGTCAACGATGGCTATAAAATGAAGATCGCTGTCATTTTATATGTAGATTTATATGGGAAATGTCATCGATCGTCATACGGTATTAAACCTCAAACCTTGGTATGAAGACATTATTTGGATTATTATTATTTATCTCTAATTAAAGTTCAGAAAAGCATAGTTGGATTCTCTGGAATAGTGATCAGGGTTTTCTCTGCCATGCCTTTTACTTGTGAATTTCAGGCAGAGTACGGCACTCCTTTCATTTTATTTAATAAAATAAGTAGGGCTATTTGGAAATTTAGTGTTTGATTTACTTAACCTATCCTCTTCAAATTTCCCACAATAATGCTTCTGTCGAACGCATCCTAGGTAATCACAATAAAATAGCTATTTATGTAACAAGTTGCAAAATGCATGTGTTTTAAGCACGGGACTCAAAATTGTCAAAAATAGGACAATGCGTCGAGTGCTTAAAACACTCTTTTTGCAACAAATTTCATACAAGATTTTTTGTGAAAGCGGATAATTTGAGATTTTGATGCTTTTATTATTACTATATATTTTTAAACATTTTTTAAAATGTTCTGGTAATCGGTTTCTAAGGCATTTTTAAATAACAAAGTTCTGCCAGGTTCAAATGTCGCCGTATTTCCTACAAAGTTTTGTAAAAAATGAGTGATAATGACGAGCCTTTGAATATTCAACAAGCTGCTGAAACTGCATTATCGACGTTAGTGCCCGAGAAGTCGAAAAACTTATACGAGACCACCTACAACAACTTTGAAAACTGGGTCAAAGAAAAACATGTTGACAATTTCAAAGAAAAGGTATTGCTAGCCTATTTCCTGAAGTTATCCACAACCTTAAATCCGTCAACTCTGTGGAATAAATATTCGATGCTTCGCACCATGATTTACCTGAACAGAAACGTAGATATTAGCAAATTCACAAACCTTATTGCATTTTTAAAAAGAAAAGCGTCCGGATATCAGGCAAAGAAATCAAAAGTATTTACAAAACTGGAAATAGAACGCTTTATGACAGAAGCCGATGACAAAGAATTCCTGTTAACTAAAGTTGTCTTAATCGTTGGAATATTTGGAGCATGTAGGAGGAAAGAAATTACGTTTTTGACCGTAAATGCCATTAAAGATTGACAGTCATTTATTAGTGTGAAGATTCCGAATACAAAAACTTATTTTCCAAGATTGTTTTACTGAGGGACCAATAGATGGTATCAATTTCTTGCATGTATTTTGTAAGTACTCAAAACTTCGACCACTCAATGTGACACATTAGTGATTTTTCTTGACGTATCGAAAAAATCAATGCTGTACCCTGCCAGTTGGAATCAATACAATTGGGGGTATGCCAAAAAAGATAGCGTAATTTCTTGGACTCTCCAACGCCATTGGATACACTAGTCATTGTTTCCGGCGCAGCTCTGCAACAATACTGGCAGATTCAGGAGCGGACATAACAGTTTTAAAGCGACATCGAGGTTGGCGATCAAGCTCGGTTGCTCAAGGTTACATTGAAAGTTCAATTAAACAGAGAACCGAAATAGCAAAAAGAATCATGGGACGGAAAGATACACCAAATGAGAAATTAAAAGCAGTTCACGTAGAAGCAGAAGCTACCAGCATTGCCAGTACAAGAAATTTACTTATTCCGACTCCTACAACTTGCATTTCTCTTAGAGACGAAAAATTTGATATTTCTTGTATTCACTTTAATAATTTAAATAATTGTACCTTTAATATTTATAATAAATAAATATTTTCATTGTTTCTAACGTTTAATTTTTTACTATTGGCCATTATTTACCAAAATTGTTATACTAAAGTACATAATTAAAAAAAGAAATGGCGATTTCATTTTAATTCTTTGCGTAAACTAATATATCTATCCAACAGTAATTTAGAGTTTGTAATACTGTCAATTCATTTTTATTTAGAACGATGTTTTTGTAGAATAAATCCATGTAGCTCAAATATACGTTTCTGTTAATAAAGTTTTATGGAATTTACATTTCAAATAAAAACGGGCGTTAGTTGGAATTTAATTACTTTTTTGCCCTGTGGTTGTTAAAAATGTTTACTATAATCCAATTGACTATAAAATAAAAAAATATATTGCGAAAATCGGATGATTTAAAAATTACTCCCTTTTTAACTAAACAAAACCTTCTGTTGATAATGAGCAGAAGATCTTCAAACTTCATATTTTTG